ACATCCTTACCCTTCTGGAGCAGAATTGGATATATTCGATCCGGCCCCGGGGATTTGTATGCCTTGAATTTGTTGATAGCCCGACTAATCCTGTATGATCTTGTGATTTCGAAGGCTAGCTTTCAGTCTATTGGAGTTGGTCTGATCCCCTTGTGACTGTAGCTTCCTTGGTCTCCTGAATTTAGTCCTGTTAGGAAAGTGCACCTGAGTTAGTATCTCTAGACTTTCCTCTAGTGTCGTGATGTAGGTATCATCCTCTTTTTTGAGGAATCCCACTTGACTAGATGTACTGTCTTTGGCTATAACTCTGGATTCTGGCGCTGGCGTTGCTCTCTGAAACCTCTTCGCAGAACTTCCATCATGAGTTTACCTTTTAGCCTTGCGTACTTCTTTGTTATAATCTGTGAGCTTATTTTTATAAGTAGTCCAGTCTTGTGAGGATTTGGCTTTGTTGAATAGCCTTCGCATCTCGTATCTAAGGCTATCTAGGTGTTTGTTTCACCAGACTGTCTTTCTCGTTTGGCATCTCTCTTTTTCGGGACAGTTTTCTTGGTAGGCTTCATTAATTGCCTTGTTTACCAAGTCCACTGTCCTTTCTCGCACATTGGTGGTTTTCTTTCGCCTTAAAAACCTAAAATAATTTTTTAAATTTGTAGATTTTTGTTGCACAAACTACTATTTGTAGGTATGGGAAACTAGCAGAACCTTTATGTCTTCCCGATTCAATTGCCTATACTTTTAAATCAAAAGTCTCATGAGCGAGACAAATCTGTTGTGAATTGTGAATGATATGTGAAATAATTATAATTTCATAGTGTCCAGCTGTAATTTACAAGAATAGTACCTATCTAGTGGATTCTAGATTAATTTAATGAAATGTACTCAATCAAATATGGCAGATTTTTACAAATTTAAGCTTACTATTTAAACTGTTATATGGAGTCTCTAAATGTTGCATGCGAATAACACACAGGATGGTGAAGTACCTATGATTTTGGTACGAGTTTTAACGAACTCCAGAATAAAATTTTACTCTGAATTTGATATTGGGATCAAAAAGGTAAAATGCCCAAATATTATTTTTACACGGGTAGGTTTAAGGAAAACGAGGCCAAATATTTTGATATGGACGAGATAAAAGGCATAATATTTTTACATGGACAGGATTCAACTATAAGTGGACCAAATATTATTACATCAGCTGGTGTAAGGATAAAGGAATAAAATATTTCTATATGTGCAGCTGTAAAGGTACCAAATTTAAAGAGTAAAGTGTTCCAACTATTTTTATTGTAAAGGGTCAAACAATAATGCAAATCAAAAGGCGTCACGAAATAGTTTTTAAAAATCAGGTCTAGCAATGTATAGATCATCTACTTAGTCGAAGCAATGTCAATGCTTCACAAACCTTTCGGTCTTTCATTCAAAATCAAATCGTTGTTGTGGCTATCCAATGTTGAGTAAATATTATGGTTTTCGTTCTCAAAATTCGTGTAAAATGTTAACTTACCATAACCAAACAATATGTATTTTTAAAATTTTATGTTATCGTTTAAAAAGCGTGGCTTCTATTTGGAAAATGTACCTGTATATTAATAAGGGCTAGAGGCATTATTTACTTGCATTAGTTGCAAGTTATTACAATATACCTTCTTTGAGGTCTAATTCCTGCCAACAAAGGATATATCAAACTAAAACAAAGACCACTTATCCATTTAAATAATTTATCAAAAAAAAGAACAGTAACCGAATATTACCAACCGAAGAGAAGAGCAAGTGTTGCTTATGTGTCATAATTAACCACTGCAGCCAACATATGTCGAAAAAATACTCTAACGGATACGTATATGCTAATGAGTAAATAAATTAATATGTTGTTCGCATGCATATGCATTCTCCTGTTGACCAATAACACCGTTCCCATTCAAACAATGCCAATTACGACCACGACTTTTTTGGACGAGCGTATCCACATTATTTTTCCTTCTCTCGCACAAGTTAGTCAAGTCTAAAGATAGTTAGATAACGCTGAAATTAACACTAGCAACCAGAAGTGACTTGTGTGTCCGTCTCGCTCGCTCTCGCCCAATCCGAACGGGATTCCAGAAGGAGATGGAACGCGAATATTGAGCATTGTCGGAGTTTTTCAGTGCCTACTGGATTTTTTTATATTTACGGCGTCCCGCTTTGCTGGTTGCTATGGTTACCGGTGTGTGAACGCAAATAACAGAGTATTTCGGACATGAAAATGTACAGGGTGATTTGAAAATTGTAATGCGTGGATAATTGAAGGTTGGTCTTCATATTTAATTTAGCAAGGTTGGCAAGGTCTTGAGAAATCAGCAAAAAAAGAAACAATATATTTCATTTTTTAAACTTCCTGTTTTAAAAGCTAGTGATACTGGACCCTTGACTCCGTTTTATTGATCTTTTGTAAGAAATGTCTACAACCTTCATATTTGCCTTATTTTGGGTATTGGGCTTTTATTATAACAATAATGTTCACCCCACTTCTTCCTTTTCTCTCTTATTGTTATATTTGTATATAGTACCACGGACATACGTATCCATTATCCTCTTGAGATTTATTATCTTGAGATTCTTTCCTTCCTTATTAATAATCACTGTTTTTAATTAATGATAATAATGATAAGATATCGTATATTTTAATTCTGTTTTTTTTTACTAATATTTTTATTATAAAATTTAGTTTCCTATTGCCACAAAATAATTAAAAAATGTGGGGAATTGTTTTTAGTTCAAGTTTCTGCTTTGTTTCATTCACCATTTTATTGTGCTTTTTTTTTAATCTACATTTATTTCCACTTCATGTCTTAGTCTTATTTTCACTATTATTGTTACAAAAGCAACATATCGTCGTTGTTATTTTAATAACTCAGATGTAAAGAATTTACAAATTTTAGAAAATTAACGTAATTGGATCAAACAGGGCTTTACGAAAACCTGCAGTCGAAGAATAAAATAAATTATTTTGTAGCATCTAAAATTTTATACACATAAAGGTATTGGATAGATAGGTGAGGATGGATCTCTATGCTGCACCTCTGACTCACAGTAAAACTACAGTGGCATCATATTCTTTTATTTTTCGACATAGACTTTCTCTACACTAATGCACTTGGTCCATCGGTGCTCTAACGTCTCTACAACCTCCTGAAAAAAATTTTGTCTGACCTCTGCAAATCACCTCTCTACAGTTAGCATCAGTTCATCGTTACACGTAAGTTTTCTTTTAATTTTGGGAAGAGCTTATAATTACTGGGGGCCGAGATCTGGCGCATATGGTGGATGCTCCACTAATTCAAAGCCTGCTTTGTGTACAGCAGTAATTTCAATCTATGGCTGGGAGTATTATCCTGATTGAACAGCACACTGTTCCTTAACTTTCCTCGGCGTGTCTCCTTAAGAGCGTATCGCAATTTAGATAACAATTGTGCGTAATAGGCTCCTATAGTGTGTCTCTTTTGCAAATAATCAGTCAGGATGATTCCCCGAGGATCCCAGGACACAGACAGCAAAACATTTCCACCAGACGGCACGACTTTAAATTTGCATGAGGGTGGAGAACCGCGATGTTTCCACTCTTTACTTTCCGCTTTGGTCTCGGGATCATAGTGGTGCACCCATGACTCCTTGGTAACATACCAACTAAGAAAGTTTTCTTTGTTTGCTTGGTACCTTTCCAAAAAGTCGCTCACAAATTAACACCCGATTTCTTTTTTGATCAATGGTTAACATTCGGGACACTCCTCTTGCACTCATCTTTTTCATATCTAATTCTATATTCAGTATGTGGTGCACTGCATTATATGATAGGCCAGTATCTTCCACAATATTCCTGATACATATTCGTCGGTCTTGCAATACGATATCATGTACCTTTTTAATGTTTTTTTTGTTGTTACCGTTATGGGAAAACCACCAGCATTCTGATTTTCACAGGATGTTCTTCTGCATTTAAAATTTCGACATCAGCGTTGGGCTATGTCAATAAGAAACTGTAGACTGTCCTATAGTCACCACAATGTCTCCATGTATTTGAGTTGACGTCATGCCTTTTTTTCTGGAGGTATTTTATTATCGCTCGTTGTTCTACAGGAATATTTTTTTTTTGAACAATCACTACACACAGTTTAAGAATTAGCCGCAGCACAACAACACTTTGAGATACAAAGTTGATATTTTGTAGATATGATCTACAAAAGTCAGTTAACTAACTGTCAAAAACATTATTGAAGCCTTACTTAGGTCAGGGGCGAAGCAGCATAGGCATTCAACTTGGTCTAGAAGTAAGGGCATTTGTGTACAGAACAAAGATGTCCAAGTTCGAATCCCGGCGGCGACAGACTTTTTTTCATCATTGGAGTTTGGGGATGGCCTTAAATATTCGTAGGGGTACTTTTGAGATTTGTTTCCAAATTTTCAAAATTATTTTAGTAATTAATTAGTTGAAAGAAACTATCCTATATCGGTGGTTTCTTATATATGACGCATGTGTCGCGGTGATTTAAGATAGAAGGTATGTAGTGCATCTGAGTCACTACAATACATTCCTTTTTTTTAAAGAGTAAAATCCCTCCTTCATAAGAAACATCTAAGGAATAGTTTTCGTCTAAATTGGTGGTTAAAGGTATTCTAAATACATTAGCAAAGGTTTTATTATCACACTTTGAAACAGATACGTACAAAATAAACAAAAAGTGTACATTTCCCCCCTTATGACCATACTTTTCCACTTATGGCCATCACGTTTCCCCATTTATGGCCATCGATTATTCATAGTTAAAAATTAAATATATAAACGATATTTATTATATTTTTATTTTAAACTAACTTTAACAAGTCTTAAATTTGTTCCAAAACATCAATAGGAGTTGAAAAATGTATCTTGAGAATTCGGCTCTCATTATCTATGTAACGAAAACTTTGTTTAATTTTGTCTAGACTTTTTAGACACTGAATCTCAACCTCATCGTTTGTTAAATTTTTAAAATGGTAGCAACATATTTGTAAGTCCTTGAGGTCCTCTTAAATTTCGCCAAAATAAATTCTTTTACTTTTAAGTTTTCTACAGGGAGAAGTTCTATTTTTGCAATTTGACATTCAAAAATGTCTACGTCTTCAATGCTGCTTTTACTTTCTTCCCATTCTCCTTTTTCTTTAGAACTCGTATCATTAAATATCTTTTGCTTTTTAGAGTTTTTAACATTTTTTTTTTCTTTCTGTTTCAATTTGTTTTCTTTTAATGTTCGTTTTACTTCTCTTTCTTTTTTATGCTCTTCTTTAAGTTTTTCTTTTCCAATGTTCTGTTGCTCCTTTAGTTCATAATAATCAACCCAACGATCACAAGTAATGACACTAGGTGTATATTCTCTTTTCTTTTTATTCAAAATAAATTTCTGTTTCGGACATTGAACTATATCGTCAAAAATATTTACCAAAGATCGCTTAGGAGGTATCAATATTTGTGATGTTCCTGGTTCCACAAGTGGTTCGTCTTCAGCATAAACGGAAACACCTGTTTCTGAAAAAAACTGGAATTAATTTTTCAGGAGTTTTGACACAAGTTTCTATCTCTGGCGTTGACTCATTTTTCTTCTGCAAGGAAATAGTGAATTCTGGAGATAACGATAGAGTTTTCTGTAAGCTAAGGGAGTTATTTGGTCAAAACTTTGTTCTGCAAGTGATTCATGTTGTGGTAAGGTCGATGATTGTTCATTGTTGGCTGTAATATGATCATCGCTACAGGTTTCAGCTTCATTAGATATATGAAGCAGTATCGCCTTGTCTGTGACACGAGAAGGTTTGTTTAATTTGTGCGAAACCAGTTCTGCTTATCATTTTATAGATAGTGTGTATTCAGATTAGTTTTGTATTTTAAAATTATTGATTTAATTATAAGGTAAGGTCTTTAAATATAATATGGCTGAAAGCGGGGGCGGTGAAACACCGCCCCAGTCCATTTTCCCACCGGATAACCAGGAAGTCAATTACGATTTCAATAACAAGTACCAAGCTGGGGACATAGGCCCATACTTTGTATTCTTAGAGCATAAGGACAAAAATATAGGTAGATTATTTCCAATAAAGGTGGGTTTTTTTCTACAACAAGAATCAGAATTTAAAAAAGACATTTTAGATATAAAATCGGTTGGTTTAAAACGAGTTAAAGTGATATTTAATTCCTATAAAACTGCCAATAGTTTAGTAAATCATGAAGTAGTGATAAAAAACGATTTAATCGCTTTTATTCCGAATTTTTTTAACCATAAAAAGGGTATTATTAGGAATGTTGATACTTTTTTTGGCGATGATCTGTTGTTAAACTGTATAGAATCTTCCATTCCCGTCACTGAAGTAAGACGTTTTAAACGTAAAATTGTAGATCCAGAAACGAAAGAAATAAAATATATTAATAGACAAATAGTTTCTCTAACTTTCTTAGGAAACAGACTACCGGATAAGGTAAAAATTAACCTAACAAGTTTTCTCGTCGAACCTTACATATTTCCAGTAGTACAGTGTTTTAAATGCCTGCGTTACGGTCACACTAATCGTCAATGCAAGGGAAAACCTAGATGCCCGAAATGCAGTCTCGAGCATCCATCTGATTCGGAATGTGAGACATCACAAATGTATTGCGTTCATTGCGGCAGTGAAGATCACCCTTCTATTTCTAAAAAATGTCCTATTTACAGTAAGCAACATAACATAAAAAAAATTATGTCACAAGAAAATGTTTCTTTTAAAGAAGCGGAAATGTTGCACAATAACCCCTCATATTCGAAAGTGGTTACAAATAACCGTTTTTCCATTCTGAACAATGAGATAAATTTTCCCACCCTTCCTACTCCCAGAAATGTAAATATAGTTACTTTGACAAAACCAAAATCAGTTAGAACGCCTCAGTCTTCTTCGCAAAAACCAACTCAATCAAAAAAGCGTAAGTGTGCCTCCCCACCCACTCAAATTTTAGATAAACCTCCAGTCTTTCCAAAAGAGCATTCAGAACCGCGTCGTTCCTCGATATTACCAAATCCCTACAGAGAAGATTTTTTGGCTCATAAGGAAAAAATCATCAATAATTTTTTTAATTTGGTTAAACAGGTTGCTAATAATCCTCAGTCTTTAGATGATAGAAAAATTTTAGACCAATTAAATAATTGTTTTGATCCTATATTTAACAAAATTCCCGTGGATGACGAAAGTATGGATGATGAGTACGATTAAAGAGAAGCTTAACATATTACAATGGAATAGTCGCTCAATTGTAAACAAAAAAGGTAGTTTGTTAAATTTTCTCAATACAAACTCATATGATATAGTAGTTATTTCAGAGTTGTGGCTTAAACCACAAAATAAATTTTACTTAAAAGGTTTTAATTCAATTCTTAAACCTAGAGCAGACGGATACGGGGGAGTAGGCATATTCGTTGCAAAAGGTATAGCATTCCGTGAAATTGTTTTAACACAGAATTTTAATAATAAATTGGAAGTATGTGCAATTGTCATTGATTCATTAAACATTTCTCTGGTATCAATATATAGGCCTCCAGATGTTAAAATTAATAGAAACGATTATATAAATCTCTTCGAACAGTTCCCCACTTCTTGTTTTTTTTGTGGTGACTATAATGCTCATCACGGCTCTTGGAGCCAGATTCCAGAAGACGCTAATGGAAAAACTTTAATAGAGGCTTTAGATAATTTGGACCTAATTACCCTTAACGATGGTTCTCCTACCAGAATTTCTCCCAATGGCTGTAATTCTGCAGTTGACCTTACAATAACATCTCCTCATATGGCCGACTTAGTCAACTGGCAAGTACTAACCGATTCTATGGGATCAGATCATTTTCCAATTAAGTTAGAATTGCAAGTTAATCTCTCATCTTTCCATATCTCTCCCTCAACTAAATGGAACGACTTGCGCGCAGACTGGAATTTATTTGAAACCAAAATAGAGGAAATTTTTGCAAATAATAACAATAATTATTCTAATACAGACGACCAAATTGATTTTCTATTTAACTCTATTTCGTCAGCTGCCTCTATGTCTATGCCAATTAAAAAACACTTTGTTCCGTCAACTCCTAAAGCATGTTGGTGGGATCAGGAATGCACTGATTGGGTGAATAAACGGAAAACGGCTTTACTAACCTATAAAAATTTATCCAATTTTCAGAATTATTTATCTTATCAAAATATTGCAGCCAGCACGAAACAAATATTTAGACAGAAACAACGATCTAGTTGGATAACTTTTTTAAATAGTTTAAATAAAAACACTCCTTTAAAAGACATTTGGTGTTCGTTAAAAAAAATTAATAATAAATATTATCAACCAAAAATAAATCCAATTTCCAAAGAAATAATAGAAAAAATTTTAGACAAATTGGCTCCTCCGACAGCATCGGATTTTAATCCTATTAATCGTTATATATTTAATTCTAAAAAAGATCAGTTGTCTGAGAGTTTCTTCCTTTCGGAACTGAACTTAGTTTTAAAAAACTCCAAAAGTACTGCACCAGGTTTAGACAGCTTTACATACAAAATCTTATTTAATCTACCGCTTATAGCTAAGCAATTTTTACTAAAAATATTTAACAATTGGTGGCTTAAACAAGATTATTCTAGTAAATTAAAAGATATTGTAATTAGATTAGTACTCAAACATCAACGCGATCCTGAACTTCCTTCTTCTTATCGTCCCATTTCACTTTTATCATGTGTAACAAAAACCTTTGAAAGACTAATAAAACTCAGGCTAGAATTCTTTATAGAAAACAAATCTCTACTGCCCAAATCCCAGTATGGTTTTCGCCGAGGACTTGGAACAGTAGATGCCATTACGCATTTAGTTTCAGATATTCAAATTTGCTTTTCAAATAACGGATACATGCTTTGTCTCTTTGTTGATTTACAGGGGGCTTACGAGGTGGTCAATTTAAATATTTTGTACAATAAGATGCGTGACTTGGGTATAGGATCAAAAATATCTGCTAATATAATTAATTTATTTTGGAACAGAAAAATTTACATTAAAGACCAGGAAAATGTATTGCATGGTCCTAGATCTGTTTCTGAAGGCATTCCACAAGGATCAATTTTAAGTCCATTATTATTTAACATATACTCCGCAGAAGTGCATCGTTTATTTGAGGATTCTGTAAATGTCATACAATACGCGGATGATATTTGTATATATGTTACCCATAATACTTTTGATCGTTGCCTAAAAGACATGAAAAAAGTTGTACTAAATTTTAAAAAGTGGTTGTTTGAATTAGGATTTAACATGTCTCCTGAAAAGTCAGCACTGATGTGTTTCACAAGACACAGACTGAGGCTAGACGATTCATTAACCATAGGTGATCATGTTTTTCCTGTTGTCGAACATTATAAATATTTAGGGGTCATAGTTGACAAAAAACTTTTATGGACTCAACATATTAAATACGTAAAGCAGAGATGTGAAAAAGGAATTAATATTCTTAAATATGTGTCTAAGCGTAAATATGGTGCAGATCCTAGCATATCTCTGATTTTTTACAGGTCCTACATTCGATCGATCTTAGATTATGGGTGTACCTTATACGCTTCTTCTTCTAATAGTAACTTACTAGTTATTGATCGTATTCAATATAAAGCTCTTAAAATATGTCTTGGAGCCATGCAGTCCTCACCAAACCATGCAGTTTTGGCAGAATCACAGGAACCTCCTTTAAGTTTACGTAGAAAATATCTGTCTAGTAAACAGATCCTGAAATATAGATCATTTAATACATTTTTAACTAATAAAGTATCAATAGTAAACATAGAAAATTTAACAAACACCTATTGGAGGAAAAAAAACACTCCTCCATTAGCAGATGCTTTTGCCGACACAAGTCAATTCAATAACTTTATGTCTGTTTGTCCGAAATACCCCGTTTATCAATATAACTACCAAAGTGTCATTTTAAAACCCGCCATCATCTATCCGTTATTTGTTGAACTACCATCCTTAAACAATACTATATTAAATTCAATTTTTAATAGATTAGGTGGTAGGTTAACTAAAATATTTACAGATGGATCAAGAAGGCAAGGAAGTACAGGATGTGCTTTTTTCGTTCCTTCGTCGAATTACGTCGAACATCATCGTCTTCCGGATTTTTGCTCTATATTTACAGCAGAATGTTTTGCAATAGAACGAGCATTATACTGGTGCGAATTAAATCCAGTAACGAAAGTAGCGATTATCACTGACTCTAAATCCTGTTTACAGGTAATTTCTACTATTGCATATAAATATTACCAAAATTCGCTCTTAAATCTCATAAAAAACAGACTTTACACCCTGAAAGCTTCAAATAAAGATATAACTTTTATATGGGCAAAAGGCCATGCTGGTATAGTCGGCAATGAATGTGTAGATTTAGAAGCGAAAAAGGCATGCGATAAGGAATCGTTGACGCAGGTGCCAGTTTATCTAGATTTAGTAAATACATATAAAAAAAAAAATAAGAAAAAACTGGGAAG